CCTCCTCTCTTCCCTCTCAGTAACCAGAAACATGGGAGTCATTCTAGTGTCCTCACTCTCCCACTCCTTTTACATTCAAGTAGTTACAGAGACCAGCCAATTCTCCCTCCTCCTAAACATTTTTCCTAAACATTCTCACTTTATCCCTACTACTTCCACGCTTGTCTGTGATCTCAATCTCCTTTTATCCAAACTAACTGCACTGTTCACTCTGGCCTCCAGTCTTGCCACATCCTCACCCCCCAACCCACTCCACCCCCAATCTACCAAATACACTGCTTTCACAATGATCTTTTATGTCACTCACAATTCTTCAGTGGCTCGCTACCACAAATGGGATAGGAAGTGGGCCCCAACTTAGCTATCCAATTTCATCTTCTTTTATTCCTGACTTTGCCTTCACACTCCAATATAACTGACCCACATTTAGTTCCCAGAACACACTGTGCTCTCATAATGCCATACAACTACTCATGCTATTAGCACCACTTGGAAATGCTCTCTGTTGCTTGCCATCCTGCCCATTCCTACTCAGCTTTCAAGTCTCAGTTCAAATACAACCATTGTTAAAACCCTTCCCTGGCATTCCTTTCAGGGATCAAGAGCTTCTGCTAGGCTTCCTTTGTACCTGTACATATCTCCCTTACAGCAAATAGCACACGATATTTGAACTGTTGGTCAAGCTGTCTATTGTCCAACTAGACTATAAGCTCCTTGGTCAAGGACAGTGACTTTTCATCTTTATATCTTCAGCACTAGTTCAATGCACATAGCATATGGTAAAAAAAAATTAATGAATGAACTGTAGGCCAACGAAAAGGCAGGAAGATTAATGGGACTTTGAGTATAGAAAAAATCCAGATCCTAAGGAAGTGCAAATATCTATTATTAAGTCCCACCCATTATAAAAAACAGAAATATTTGGTTATTCAAGTTGTATCAAGATGACAAAGAAAAACCTTATTGGACTAAGCAGGCAATAAGGAGATAAGAGTCTCCATGTGTGTGGTGATGGACTGTAATTAGTATTTGGGTGGTGAGATTACATCATGAGAACATGATGTAATCCGTGCAAAAATAGAAGTATAATGATGTACACCTGAAATTTATACAATGTTATAAACCAATGTTACCGCAATAAACAAAAAAATAAAAACCAAAAAAAAAAAAAAAAGAGTTTCCAATGGAGCAGCTGACAAAAGATCAACAGAAAGACCAGAGATAAAGGTGGTTCTTTCTATGAGTCAACTAATTCACTGACCTAAGTCCATAAATTGAGCAAAAGACCGGCACCTTCCCCTCTCAGTTCGCTACTCCTCCCCTCTGCCCTTATTCTCCATACCACTTTCCCAGTCCCCACTATCAAATCCCAGATCCCACAAGTAATTCCCCTGGGTTGGAGCCACCAGTCTCTGCCAGTGGGTTAGTCTGGTATGTAAGAGAGAGGGGGAGTCTTTTTTCTTGCGGCCAAGACCTAGAGGAAAGAAAATGAAACTGCTATTTACTGAGGAACTACTTTTGTCAGATATTGTGCTACTTTATAAACATTCATTAAATCTCACAGTAGTCATTAGCAATTATCCCATCTCACATGAGGAATTTGTGTCCAAGGTCACACAGCTAAGGAATGACAAAGCCTGGCCCAGAACTCAGGAATGACGGCCTCCAAAGTATTTCTATACCCCTGACTACCTCAAAATGGAGATGTATGTGGCCCAGCCATTCTAGGTTGGAACTCAGAATACCTTATTTTCCAAAACACTATTATAAATGTTGGTTAGACTCTACAGTACCACTAATCCATAAAGCACACAATGAATTTAAAAATCTTTGGGGTCCTGACCTGGAAATCTAAATGCTATTTATTTTATTCCTATAAGTACATTGTTCAACATTACAAACAAAAATGGACTTGAAAATGAATTTTTGGAATACAATGGGTTCTTAAGTGAGGCTTTTCTTTAAGAATATTTTCTTCCACAAAAAATCACCTCGGATAGAAACTATTCTGCCTTATTAACTTGTAAGAACAATGACACTAGAAGACACCTGTGGGAAATATGCTTATCTGACCAGGCACTCATTTACAGTGTGCTGTCATTTGAATAAAACATCATACTAAACCCTACAGACCAGAGCTTATGATAGAAATGCCACAAACTACAGCAGTACAGCTGATATGCCTATAATCTACTGATAAAACGTACTCCTCAGCAAAGTAAAACCAGATGTCTGGTGTGAAATCAGATGTCTGTGAACTTGTCTTTCTTGGCTTCCAGAGCAGTATCAGATACACTAAATACACAGCTTAGCTGCATATTAAACCCAGAACTTGGCAAAATCATGACAGTTTGGACATGAAGCATCAGCATTTTGATTGTAATTCTTATAAACCAAAGATATTTCTGAAATAGAAATCCTAAGTTTAAAGCACTCTGCTAAATGTGGTAGTATGTCTTTCTCACTTTGGGAAGAGTCGGCGCTTTTTCAACACATTACAGAAAGTCTTTCCCTTCATTTTTCAGGCTGACATTCTTGAGGCAGAGCTGTGGAATGATCTGATAGGGAGAATTCGAGCCACATCAGGTGGATCAGATATAACAGGCGATCAGGGTGAAAGTGCAAATACCCAAGAGGCTTAGCACCTTTAGGAAAGTAAGTACTAGACTGCTTTCCACAATCACAAGGAAAATCAACAGAAAGTGATGAGGTGCCAGCCCAGTGGGGTGGCATAGCGGTTAAGGTCACGTGCTCCGCGTTGGCAGCCCAGCGTTCGCCAGTTTGGATCCTCGGCACGGACCTACACACCACTCATCAAGCCATGCTAAGGCAGCATCCCACATACAAAATAGAGGAAGACGGGCACAGATGTGAGCTCAGGAACAATCTTCCTGAAGCAAAAAGAGGAAGACTGGCAACAGATGTTAGCTCAGGGCCAATCTTTCTCACCAAAAAAAAAGTTATGAGTGACCAGATAGAGAAACAGGGAGGGAAATTAACAGTATCTATATGCTAGACACTGTTTTCTACACATTCTTTTTTATATACTCATTGTTCTGTTTTGACAGATAAGAAGTTAAGGAGCAGAGAAGTTTTAACTGGCCCAAAGTGGCAAAGCTAATAAAATAGGAGCATTCAAGCTCATATCTAGAAGACTATAAAAGGCATGCTACTTCTGCATGAGGATTTGGGGTAGAAACAAGGATTGGTGGTAAACAGCCAAGAATATGGAGGTAAAAGGCAGAAAATTACAATTTTACCACACAGTAATACATATATATATATATATATATGTATATAATGTTCCATATATATAACAAAAAGTTGAAGAAATAAACACAAATTGTTGACAGTGGTCATCTGAGAATGAGTTCATAGGACACTCCCTTTCTACCTTTTACATCCCTGCAAGATTTAATTTTAAATAACTTTCTTTTTTTACCTTATATAACCTTTGTAACAAAATCAGAAAAAGATAACCTTTTTCACTTTGAAAAAAAAAATGAAGTGAAATGTACAGAAACCCATGAATAGTCTACTTTAGTATTTATTTTCCTGAGTGCATCATCCTTAACATTCTCTGTGCTTTCTAATCCTAGGTCATTTTTATGGAACGATTCAAAAAACTATCTTCATCTAATTATTATACTGGTACAATACATTTATTACACTGGAAAATGACTATAACACTATTCATTACAGGACACAAATCCCCATGGTCAGTCATCCTTGAAAGCTTATTACTGAAAGTACCAGAAAGGCAGAAAAATAACACTGTTTTCCCATGACACTGCATAGACCTGCAAACCACTAAGATCAGTAGTACAGGGAAGGTCTTGTACACTAATACTTGACTATTCGGAAAATCCACAGAAAAGTGGTAAAAGACCTGTCCCTAAATGGCCATCTCCAACAGTCTCATCATTCTCACCATCCTACTTTTATCAAAGTGCTCAGCACTTAGGTAGGAAAAGATAAATATCCATTGAATCAATGAATGAACCCATCATCAATAAACAACTATTTTGTGGTTTTTCCGCAAGTAAATTATGTGATCTCTGCCACTTGAGCACAAACAAATAAGAAGGCAGGTTCAAGGCACAGACAGCCAATGTCAAGATGCCATGGAGGGCAATTCTAGTTTTCCTGTGTAAGCATCCAAGAATGTGGTTTATTACATTCTTGCTTGTAGCTAACCTGAATCTTAACTAATTTAAAATGTTTGTTTATATGTGACATATAGGATGCATAAGGTATCCCAACCTTCTGAGAGGAGCTGTGTTTCATTTCACCAATGTGAGGGGAAGGAGGGAGTGGTGTATTGGAGAAGTGATGGAAAGGTCCCAGAGAAGAACCATTAAAAGAGACCACACTGAAAATCACAGCAAACCTCCAAGGACTTCAGTATGCTGTTTGGCAACTTTTCAGAAATGGATACAATGCTGGTGAGGGGTTATCAAAGTGAAAGTCAAGAAAAAAAGGCCCAGCCTGGTAATTTCTCCCCCTCAAAATACCTTCCGCTATAAGCCTGAGAGAAGATCCCAAAAGAACTTCAACATGTGATATTGCTATTAACTTTATGCTTTGGGATCCTAAAGGAGTCCCCTTTTAAAATGCCAAGATTCTTGGGAGGAGTTCCTGTTAATGATCAGGCAGGATCACGATTCTTTAATACTACAGTCTCAAGGATTAGTCAAAGCTAGCTAAGACATATGGGCCTGACGCAGACAACTACAGGACCAAACGGTAACTACAGCTTCCTGCCAGGTCAACTGGCCAAAAAGGAATCTATGCCACGCTGCCAAAGTCCCAGCCAACTCTACAGACTCTGTAAGCCTGAAAAAGTTCTTGGGTTGTAGCCTGTGACCCTTGAAGGCGGGCCTCAGGTTCCGTAGAATTTGGCCCCAAGACTCCCCAGGGGCAGTTCTGGATCTAGACCTTCTCTCCCTTACTCTCAGGACAGTCCTAGATCCTTCCACCCCTGATCATTCCTTACTTACCCTTTCTCCCGTTCTTCCTCGGTGAGAAGGGGTAAGTGGTTATATTGTGCCCTCGCCCAATTTGGCCAAAACCCTAAAAGTAAAAATGATAGAGACAGACACGTGCTTTAAAATCCTGTTGTTCAAGCCTTAGGAACTCCCACCACCTGCCCAACACTTCCAGGCGGAGGGCGGCGCGTCCCCACGGCGCTCCCTCACGGCCAGGGCTAGGGGCCGGAGTTGTCCCCTTTAGGCGGGCCAAGGAGAGGGCGCGATCTGGGGGCGCCCGCTCGGCGGGGAGGAGTGGGTCGGCTCCGGGCTAGGTGTCGCTGTCGCTAGGCACCGGTTTCCGACCCGAGTTAGCCGGAGCAGGAGGCGACAGGGCTCCCGCCGCACGCGGCCTCAGATAAACACGCGCACGCACACATGCTAGCGATCGCCGCAGGACTCGCGGCCGAGCTGCCCTCCGCCTCCCGGCAACGCCCGCCCCGCCTGGGGCCAACTCCCGGGGAAGGGTCCCAAGCCCAGAGGACCACCAGGTGACGGTGGCGGGGCGCCTGCCCACCCTCGCGAGCCTCAGAGCCCCCCACCCGCCCAGCGCCCGCCCTCCGC